CCAAACGTCCCGTGATACATAAATCCTCTTGCGATAAGTGGCCTCCTAATAGTGACTCACTGTACCGTATAGACCCATAATATCAGTGTTCGAATGAAGCTGTGGTTGTTCTGCTCTTTTCATATCATGGAGCCGATAGTCTATAGAAGTTTTTTCGAGACTTCAAATGCAGTGTTTGCACTATAGGAACCGCTACTTGATAACGATACAACAAAGAAGCCGAAAGTCGAACGAGTTCTATCAAACGCTTACTTCATAGCGTTGAGTCAGGGAGGTACACTTCAATTCTTAGGTGGAATAACGCCCCAACCCTGCCCAAAGAAAACGCTCTGGAAAATGATTTGTTGACAGTCTTCTTCTTCTTCTTTTTTCAGCGTTTGTCCCGCTTGATCGCGGGGTCCGCTCTTTTGATACAACTACGCCACTTTTCCCGATTGGATGCCTGATCGGGGTGAATGCCGGCTATTTTCAAGTCGGTATGCAACGTGTCGAGCCAGCGCTGTTTGGGACGTCCCTTTGGCCGCTTTCCTGGTACCTCGAGTTCGAGAGCAGTTTTCCGGACGGTATCAGCCTTTGCGCGAAGTACGTGCCCATACCATCGAAGGCGCGTTTCACGCATTTTCTCCGTTATGGGGGCTACACCATACTTCTTACGCATGACATCATTACAGATGCGGTCCGATCGCGTGACGCCCGCCGTCCAGCGCAACATCTTCATCTCCATCACGCCAAGGCGAGCCTCAACTTTTGTCGCGGGCCAGCACTCGGCACCATATAACGCGACAGGTCGGACGACAGTACGATAGATCTTTGATTTGAACCGCTCTGGCATTTTCTTGTCGCGAAGGATCCCGGACATGGATCGCCACTTAGACCACGCGGCACTCACTTCCGAGTTCAGACTGCCGTCGGACGCAAGTGCTGATCCGAGATACTTGAATGTTTCCGTGCGCTTGAGCACCGTGTCATCGATCTTAATGGAGCCCGTCTCATTTGGGTCGGTTGTCAGGTACTCGGTCTTGTTGACGTTCAACCTGAGTCCAAAACTTCGCCAGACGCTCGGCCCAAGCTTGCACCTGCTGTTCCAGTGCGCTCTTATCTTCACAAGCAAGCATCACATCATCAGCGTAAAGCAGGGTCCATGGCACTTCTTTCTGAAGATCTCGTGAAATGGCATCCATGACGGCCAACGAAAAGAAGTGGGGAGAGCGCAGAGCCTTGATGTACCCCGACGGTGATGGGGAACTCCACTGAGACACCCGCTGGTGAGCGAACTTGGCTCCCTGGGCATGAGTAAAGGATGCGCACCCACTCAATGAGCTCTTCGGGCACGCCGTGCCGCCTCAAAGCGTACCATATAACATCACGCGGCACACGATCGAATGCCTTCTCCAGGTCTAGGAAGGCTACATGCACGGGCTTTCGCTTCTCACGGTGTTTCTCCAGCAATAGGCGAGCGGCATGTATGGCGTCGACGGTGCTACAACCCGCCACGAAGCCACACTGATTGGTGGAAAGCTGGACGATATCACGAACGCGGGCGTCAACAATTCGCTCAAAGATTTTCATAGTGTGAGAGAAGGCGAATTGGACGATAGTTTGAGCAATCTGCTGGGCTGCCCTTCTTCTTCCAAACCGGGATCGTCACGCTCTGCTGCCAGTCATTGGGCACCTTCTTCTCTTCGACGATCTGGTTGAAGAGTTTCGTCAACCAACCCGCAGAAAACCAGCGCTGTGACTTCCACAAATCAGCTGCTATGTCGTCGGGGCCTGTACTTTGCCGGCCTTCATCTTCCTCAGAGCAGCTTCTGTTTCCTGTACGGTGATCTTCTGAACGGGACCATATGTTGGTGCGGTACAGGGTATAGCGGGATGGGCGAATTCCACCGTTGAGATGCCCTCGAAATATTCACGCCATCGTTGTAATACCCTTTTTCGGTCCATCAGAAGGTGGCCATTCTCATCATTTATGCCAAAAACTTCTCAATGTCTTCGGTTTGACGATGACGAGATTTGGCAAGTCCGTACAGGTACCGCTCACCGTCGCGCGTCTCCAGCTTCTTGCTGATATCATCGAAGTGAGCGGCCTTCGCAGCAGCCACGGCCGTCTTTGCCACATTCCTCGCTTCCCGATACTGCCGCCAGTTGTCAGCCGACTTGTGCTCGAGAAACGCGTGATAGAGCCTCTTCTTTTCTCGAACCTTCGCTTTGACGTCGTCCGTCCACAGCCATGCCTCTTTGTCGATCCTCCGCCTTCCAGGCTTCGTTGTGCCGAGTTCGGAGCGGGCGGCCTGGATTATAGAGTTAACGGCTTTGTTCCAGGTCTCCTGAACAGTTGTGACTTCAGGTAGTCGAATACGAGAAATCACAGCTGCCTCCCGCTCCTTCAGTCGCCACCACTTTATTCTTTCAGGACCGCATCGTTCTGCCTGCCTCGATCTGGGAGCTACAAGTCTGAGCGTGCAGATAAGTGGGCGGTGCTGCGTGGCAACCGTTTCATACGGTACTACCTTAGCGTCTGTCACGAGTCCTTGGTCGCCATGCCTGATGAGTACGAAGTCTATCTGGGTCTTGGTACTCCCGCTGTAGAACGTGATAAGATGAGAATCACGTTTACGAAACCGTGTGTTCAGAATGACGAGGTTATGCGACTCTGCATACTCAAGGACTCGCTCACCATCGGCGTTCCGGGAACCGTAACCGAATCCGCCATGACAAGTATAGCCGTCTTTTGCAGCGCCCACGTGTCCGGCTACAATAATACCGTCTTTTGGTGGCACTTCAGCCGTCTTCTCGTCCAGCAGAGCCCAGAATTCGTCCTTGGACTGCTCAGAGCATCCAGTTTGTGGGGCATATGCAGAGAAGAAGTGGTAAAGTCGTTGCTCAATAGCGACAACAATCTTCATTAAACGGTCGTCGAAACGATCTACGCTCACAATCGTATCGCGAAATCGCTGAGACACGATCACGGCCACACCACTTGTAGTTTTCGGCCCGCCACAAAGAACGGCTTTGAAGCCGCGGCCTAACTCTTTCGACTTGCAGCCAACCCATCTCGTCTCTTGCACGGCACAGAGGTCGATCTTCCTACGCTCTAGGGCTTCTGCTAACTCGTACGAGCGTCCAGTCAGCGTCCCCACATTCAGCGTCGCAATACGAGCCTTCATCGCACGTCTTTCGGACTAGCCTGGTTGCCCCCCGATGCCGTCCTTGCAACGAGGACCCTCGCATACTTTCCACACTCGCCGGGCCATACGAGTGCGCGTCGGCTCCCGCGGACGCCGTAGCATTATCTCGTAATTCATAAGGCATAGTTGAACATGATGATGTGACATGGGGTGTTCGTAAGCCGGCCCGTCACGAAGGCCTGTCGCCTGCTTTCGAGTTCGTCCGTGTTCAGCTCAGCCCGCAAAAGCGAGCAGGTCCCGGTGGCACCACTTGGAGGAACGGACGTCACCACCGATTTGTTGACAGTGGAGCCATGAAAATGTGTATGACAGTGAGCACTAAGTACGAGAGATGACAGCCCTCCTTCGAAGAAATGAGGATGTTAAGGTAGGAATGCGACTGGAGGCAGTCAGACTGGATCATCAGTATTATGACTATAGCCCGGCGGCTCCTCTATGCCATCCATTACGCGCCACGGTTCGGTTTCAGACTCACCCATGAGCTATCTCACGTTCCATCATTCAACTGCGAATAAACCTCTTTATCTGTTCGAGAGTACTTCTTGAGGTCTTCAGGCATGATTCATCGGTGGAAACAAATTACTCTCATGAATCCAAGAATTTCAAAAAAAAAATTAAGATTGTAAGTGTGCAATGATGGCCTGCTCTTTGTCTTTTCTTTTTTCCCCGAGTTTTTTCCGTTCCTCCATTGACCTTTCTCGCTTGAGGTGGTCTTTATGCCCTACACTGTACTTCAGGCCATGTACCCAGACTGGGATAGCATTTAAGCAAACTGTCAACGGCACTTTTTGATACCTGAGACATTTTATAAGAATCAACGGCTGGTTCTTTATCAATGTTAGTGAACTGCACGAGAGTCCCCCTCACGTCCAGCCGTTAGAGATGTTGTAGACGCTCGATTTGCGTGCACATCGAGTGTTCTTCTGTTAGGTGAGTCGAAGCTTATGCCATTTCTAAGCAGTGGCTTCAAAACGTATAATGATTTGAATTGATTCGATTCTCATGGTATAAAAAGAGGAACACTGAGGAGTTCAAGATAGGTGATCCCAGATCATATCGCAAACACCTCGCATGTGAGGCGTCTGTTGTGGCATGAGTGGTTCCGAGACCTTCACTTGATTTCAACGGAGGTGCCAAGTCAGTAGCTTGATAACAACATGTCCACCATTTTCCGTACGAACCTTTTCGCGAGAGCCGAGCCTAGTGGTGGGACAATATCGGACGGCTCTAAGCCATAAAAATACTTTAAACTAACGAGTGGGACGCTTAGGCCAATTTTACTTCAGGTTTTGTAAGAATGCGCGGCCTTCGAGGGATATTGCAGAAGCAGCACAGCTGCTCTTGAGTTATCTTCAGTTCTTATTTTGCAGCACCTAAAATGTTATCCGCATCAGGAAATTGCGTTTTACTTGTATTCCAAAGCGCAATTACAGGACTTGGCAAAAAGCCAAGAGAGCCGCGCGCGACACGCGCCGCGCGGAACGGCTGTTAGCATAAACGGTGGGCGGAGTAGGAAGAAATTAGCGTGTTTCACGGTCCTGTATCTCCATTTCTGCGCATGTTAGGACGGGAAACCGCTCGACAGCTGGGGAGCTGATAGTCGTGCACACCCAAACTATGTGTGATCGTACCATGTGTCCTCAATGGAACTTTATTATAATTGACCTTATGGGCAGCCCTTTGGAACAGACGTGCGTTTATAATGTAAAGCTTCATCAAGTTTTTATTCACTGGAAAATTGGTACAGTTTGTTCCGATTGGTCTACCTCTTACACTAAAATCATCCATGCATATGACGGCTGAGGCATGACTCTATCCAGCTGCGCAGTACTTGGTGGAATCGCATGGCGTTGCCTGGCAGATGTAATTGTGGTCGTTATCGCAGTCGTCGGAAAACCATGCAGATCTGAAATAGAAAAGTTCATGGCGTTTTGAACAGGTTATGAAATCTGTCCCCATCTCGATTCTTCATGAGTAGCAAGAAAAGCTTACTTCATTCCGTTGTATTCCATATAGACGCATTCACCCGCTCGAGAGTCCGGATGACCTGGAGCCCATTTTGTGAAGCCAGCCTTGAATCATCTGATATTTGGTGTTCTGTTATGGTTTGAAGACACTTTGTGCCATCACCCAACAAAAATGGGAATTTTGCAGCAGTGGAGGTACTGTATTCTTCATTCGAAAGTGTGTGAAGTGGAGCTAGAGACTTGTAATCAGGACTCGTATTGCATTTTGTAAATCGCAAATAGGTCCGCTTTTTTCATGAAACGTTTTCGTTGTTTACTTCTTCCGTTTCTTCTGAAATGTATAACCCCCCCCCCCCCCGCACACGCACACACCTTTTTCAGACGTCGGTATAATAAGACCACAAATTCGACAGTTGATCGGAGTTGTGTACTCCCTTCCACTGTCGACGACATCTTTTCGCTGGTGAGGGGGAGTTAGGTTGTGAATGAGTATGGTAGCTAGAGAGAAATTCGGAGGGAGGATTTGAGTAACAATTAACAATTTTTTTCTCTTTTTCCGCCACTTCCATACACGATACGCTCGTCACAATTAAGCCAATTGCCTGCTACGTAGCCTTTCCTGATTTCAGTTCTTTGATCTATTACAGATGTGTTGTAGAGGGAACTCAGAAAGTGTTTACGTTACTACCTTAAAGACACATGGTACGCTCAAACACATTGAGGGTGTATGAGACTATCAGCCCCCAGCTGTCGATGTGTCGTGGTTTCCCCGCCCGAAACTGCACGGGGTCCGAGTACGGGACCGTGGGAAAGGCTTATTCCTTGCTACACCGCCCAAAATTCACCGCGCGCAAGTTGCATTTCGCCGCGCGCAAGTTGCATTTTGGGCGGTGTAGCAAGGAATAAGCCTTTCCCACGGTCCCGTACTCGCACCCCCGTGCGAGTTTTCAGCGGAGAAATACACGACACATCGATCAGCTGGGGGGGGGCTTTAGTTTCATACACCCTTCAATAGGTTTGAGCGTTACCATGGTCTTTAAATCGCAGATGGACACTTTACGATCGATGCTAAGTGCTAATACGCCCATAAAAAAATAAATAAAGAAGAGAAAAAGAATAACATCATGACTGGCGTGCATAAAGTTCATCCCTGAGTCGGTTCCTGTTCCCTTCGAGGCAAAGAACTAATGGGGAGGCTATTCACGACTATTCTCTACGCTGGAACCCGCGTGCCATTATTACGAGGAAAACTTATAGTGCAGTTGCAGAAATATAGGAGTCTTATGAAAATGTCTCTGATCAAAGCGCGGAGCAGTATGTTTTATAATCTCCAAACGCTACCGAAAGCTCAGCGTGGACTGCCCGGGGAAACCGCTGGAAGAACCGAGGAAGTCCTGTTAACTGGAACTGATAGTATTCCGAGACAGCTGCCTCTATCAAGGCATAATTGAGGCGGAGGAGAGTGGAATATGAAGGAAGGAATTTCGTACGCCCAAGAAACGCGAAGGACAGCAGCCATGCCATGTGTTACAACTCTTATTTTGGATTCTTACGAGTAACCATGGAAGGGCAAAATCTTCATATTTGGTAGTATGAAAAGAGCTGTGATGGCCTGGGATAGAATCAATGGGATAAAGGACACGAAACTTTCAGGGACCAGGCAGACGAACCGGTCACCAATAAGACCGGGAAGCCAGATAGCTACCATGGTACGAAATGGTGTCCCACCAGAAAAAGTTTTCAACCAAGTCAGCCGGCATAGCAATGAGTATGCACACTCATGGTAATTCATTCTACACCGTGAATCAGAACTGTCCAAAATTTGCGAACGATTACTACTGAGTGGGTTATTGAAGTTTATTCCTGTTTTCTTCTTGCAGAGCGCGGGCCCGAAGAGTTGAACCTTTAACGCGAACTCACAGCGTTTCTTCGCGCAGAATAAGCTAACCATGTTGTTCAAGGGGCCAAATAACCCCCAGAGACGTCAGCTTAGCGAAATCTGAGGTTCCGACTCAACTTCGAAAAAATGGGGTATGAATAATCATGGCTGATGGTGAGTGATAGCTAACACCGATACTATGACTAGCACTGGGGTGATGACTGGTCTTCGAACTGAAATAACTCTTCAGTCATGTCTTTTCGCAAACAACAGTACCTGGCTTACTTATTTGTGCCGTCTGCATCATTTTCTTGACTATCGGGAGGAAATCCCATTCCGAGACCAGTCATCGATGGTAGGTGAGCTCCAAACTGCTGCTAATTACCCATGGAATAACTCACATTTTCCAAGTTAGGTCGAAATATCAGATTCGGCTAGAAACTTGTCCCCAGGGGTAATTTAACCCGCTGAACATGAATATGATGGTATTTCATTGCAAAAACCCTTGTGACATGTGCTACGGGGGGGGGGACAAGCACGAGCACTCTTTCAGGCCATAATGGGTCTACACTTTCGAAAAAAACTGGTCGCAGTTTCCTTACAGGATAGTGCAGGCGAGCAGAGATGTTAGAAGCTTTGTCGGCCATGTTCTTGGACAAATGCAAAAAAGGCACCCTGCCGAGAACCGATCCTACGACGTCTCGCCTAGTAAACCCGCTCGCTATCCGTTGCGCTCTACTGCCACGTTTCAATTTGACTCCATTCTTGTATATAAAGACGCTTCCACGTTTCCTCGCGATAGCATGTGAAACAACCACGCGGGGATAAAACCCTCCATAACTCCGTTCAGAGAGTCGTTCCGCAAATTCTGAAGGTAGATTCGAGTTCACCGTCCCAAGACTCGTACAACGGTGTGCACCTCATTGGAAATGGCCAGGCTGACCTGTTGACCTTTCCTGGTCAGAAGGGTTTAGGACCACAGCGTATGGGAAGTGCTGGAGTTTGAGAGCAGGGCGAGCGACCACAAGGAAACCCAAGGAAAAAAGGGGGAACGTCATCGAGAGGACGTCGCGTCTGACCCTGAAGTCAAGGATACGGCTAAAGACGCCATGGAGAGAAAGAAATAATGACATCTAACTAGGACTACGACTTCGCGCGCGCCTGTGCGATTGTAGCGCAAGTAAGAAGAGGAAGTGAAGTCTTCTGCCACAACTCCAGACATAACGCTGACTGTAGCCGCACTGGCTATAGCCTCAGGACTAACTATATGGCGTGGTTTCTCCGGGTATCTAATATGTAGTGTGCGAAGTCATTAAAAAAACATTAAGCTAGTACAAGCCTTCAGCTTCGTTTGTGTGTTTTCTGAAATGGTTGCAGTGTAGCGTACCCGCCCGTCAAATAAAAGATCCACCTCAGCCTTGGTCGGTCAATATCTTTCAAAGACGCTTAAAAACTGTCCCCGTACCCTCTCACAGTATACACCCATTCATCATAGTCTTCACCGAAAGGTTTAATCGGATCTGGCCGGTCCTAGTGGCCTCTTATTCATGGAACAATATTGCATTCACAACGACTTACCGAGTAACCTTCCCGGCCATGTCCACTGATTGCCGTCATAACGCAGTCCCAACCAGAATTTCGTTTTCGGTGGGAATGCTGAATATGGAGATTTTACAAGTTATGTGTTCTTACAAAGTTCGTGATGGTAATTCTTCACGAAGAAACTTCTTCCAAACATCTTTGCATAAGAATTACTAGGTATTGGCAGATTAATTGTAGTTTTTGGAGTCGCCTATTTGCTGATACTGACACCGTGAAATAACAATAATTTGGATCTCTCCGTTTGATTTTTTTTTCTCACCTAGTATGCCGTCCCCACCTCTGCTGACTGACTTTCTGCCTCGAATTTTTCTTTTAAATTTGTACTGAAATCCACTCCTACTCAAGATAGAAAACTTGCATCTGCCCACTGAATGACTTCTATTCGCGCTGGAGATAAGACATCCATCAAGTTACTAGTGCTGAAGGTGCTGCCAACATGTTCAAGATGTTATTACAAAACTGTAAGGGTGCCTCATTGAAACCGTAATAACCGAGATAGGAAAAGGTTGTGACTGATCTAGTCCTGGGTCGTGATGAGCTGAATTCGAGATGAGAACTTTTTAGGTAAGATGAGCTAATGGGGCACATACGGCGCTGCAAATTCTATCCCACAAGAAGAGTCGGGCTGCCTGTTCACCACGATTAACGTAATGGCGTCGCAACCATTTTCGAAAGAAAAATGACTGGACGAAAATTGCTGGGTGCCGTGGTTGCGATACAATGGCTGAGGAAGAGCGTATGAAGCTCTACCTAAACCACTGTAAAAACAGATAATAACTCAAACGACTTCAACCCTTTCCTTCAACAAGTCTAATTTTTTTCAACGTATATGAAGTGCCGTTCCCAATTGACAGAGGTGTCAAACTTGACCTGCCTTGATTTTTTCAACTTTCGAAAACTCCATGTTCTGGGAGCGAGCTATTTCCTTTCTTCTGCGTTCATCCTTTGCGAATGGAATAATCGAGGTTCGTGTGAAGGACGCACGAAGGAAGGTATATATGCCTTTCTACCAATGCGGAATCGGAGAGTGAGCGAATCGAAAGGATAACGTTGTGTAAGGTCATGTCGCGATAAAGGACTAAACGGGAGTCTGGGGACTCCGCTCACCAGCGAGTAGCGCGCTTTCTCCATTGACTCATTTTCTCGAATCGCAGATTTTCTACACGGATGTCCAACGTTGAATTCTCCCAAGCCGACTTCCATAGTGTGCAGTTGTGCCACTTCACAAGGTCCAGTGGTCAGTCGCTGTTGACTGCTTAGGATTTAGCACTCAGTGGCACGAGAAACGCTCACTCACATGTTACATGTTAAAATAAAGAACGCAACGATGCCCTCCCTATCTCAGCCATGTAAAATCTGTACCTGAAGTGTATACCTGAAGATGTCATCACCCCCATAGAACTTTCGGGAAGGCGGGCTGAACGGCTCAGTGTGACTTGCGACCGAGCCTTTGAGCTCGAGGTTTTAGAAAACTCCAAAGTATCCCAAATGACAAAAGGGAACAACGTGAGCAAGAATGTGATAGGTGTACATTGATGCTGGTTGCCCAGCAGTTTCAGATCATTCAGGTCGTTTAGTCTAAAGCTCAAAAATACTCACCAGTCATCAGGAAAGCGTCCTTTTTGATATCCTCATCGAGCACAAGCATTGCGTCATTCCTTCGGAAACACGTGCGATTGGCCAGCAACTGTAACGGTTTATAAGGCGGTAACAGTCCCAATTAGTGCCGTTGTCTTGCAGACCATGTACTGATACAAAACGACAAATCCCGCGACTATATATATTGTGGATGGTGACGTTCAATTACTTACCTATAGTCATTGAATGGTACTTCGTGGAAGAAAAAAAAGAAGAAAAAATCATGGAGAACACTGGTGAGAACCTGACAGCCAGACAAGTTCTCCGGACTTGCTTGTTTTATGGAAGTAGAAACGTATAATGCTGCTTCTAATTCTGTAATCGTTTCTTCGCG